AACATAAAAAGCATCGCAAGCGCCAATTCTTTGGCAACTTTCCTCTCAGCATGTCCAGGAAAAATATCGTTAGCGTCATTTTACCTTTAGAAAAGAAGGTACGCAAAAAATAAATAGTCCTATTAGAAAGCTGGCATTCAATAATCTTGTTGTCTATTTAAATCCAAATAAATTTTTACATTGTTTAAGGGAGAATTAAAAAAAAAAACTCCCCTTTAAAATTTACCTTTTGAAGTAATAGTTTTGGTACAAAAATAATATTATTATGAAATTTTTGGAAAGTGATGAAATGCTGTATCTCAGTAGCTGCTTCACCGATCCTTACCAAACTCGGTACGAGCCTTGCTTAGAGTCCAGCTAAGAAATAACATGAAAATCTTTTAAATCGGGCAGTAACCACGCCCGCCTCCCATATAACGGTAATTTACAGAACCACGAAAATTGAGATAAATCTGTAACTACTTAAGCTACTTCGCTCAAAATCGATGATTGCAGTAACCACTTACAGGTCTATTCTGCACGCTACCGAAGATTTTGTAACCGGCAAATTTTATCACCAAAAAATGTTACCAGTTAATGCCACCGTAATTTATTCTCACAATAATTCTAAATTGTTAAAATCTATTTGCATGTGAAACCTTATTCCATACAAATAAAACGATTGAATAGGAGCTTTTTGAACGTTCGCCCAACTCAGCAGCACAATCGCTGATTACTGGGCGTTGCAAAGGATGGATCAATGCTTCGAGAAGCAAACGAATTGGCCAAGAAAGAAAGTTGCAACAATTTTTATTTTTTCCAATTTCAATTATTATTTTTTTTTTTGTATTTCACATGGCACGCTTTGATTTAGAAGAAAAAAATCAGAACTGTTTTTGACAATTTCGATACCAGAAGCAATAACAAAATACACGCAACTGTTGTTTTTGCTCTAATGCTACTACCTGTTTGAGATGTCTTGGTACGTTGGCAATGCAGTTAAAATATTTAGCAATTCAGCTATGAAGAATTGTGGAAATTTTAGCATTGCATATTTCACGGGGCAATATTTTGTCACCAGCTTATGAGATGGTAACAAAATGTACCGGTTACAAGAGTACACAGAATTAAAAATTGACGGGACTTGATTTACCGGTTACAAATTTTTTTTTAGCATTGCAGAATAGACCTGTAAGGATAAAATTAGATTATTATACATTTTTGGATAATGGGCATGGCACTGCCCACTTATGACCACAAATGTGTATTTCGGTAACGGATTTATCGATTTCTACCAAACTTGGTTCAATTATTTCCTTAAGTCTAACTCAGCATAACATCTAAATCGTTTAAAATCGGAAAAAACACCCCTGCTTATCATGCAAAGGTAGTTTAAAGAAAGCTGAAACGACGATATTTGATACCTACGCGGGTATAGAATTTATACTTCTTTACTTGATTCTTCTTATTTTTCATGATAGTTTACATACAAGCACTTTACCATGCTCCAATCACTGTATTGTTACGTTTGCAGGGAATCAGCCCCACGTGATACGAGCAGGTTGAATAAGGAAATAATAAGAGTTTACGGGGTGTGCTTAGCTCAGTTTTTAGCCTTGCTGACTTTGCACATCGGTGATGCGAGTTCGATTCCTGCTGAAGTCAAGAGAAAGAAGTATGATGAGGAGATGTGGCGATCTCCGAAATAGCAGCTATAAATTCTACCGCTTAGACCGCGGTACAAAGTAGGGATGTTGCGAATGTGGAATTTTAGACATCCGCGGATGCGAATGCGGATGCGGATGTTTAAAAGCTAACATCCGCGGATGCGAATGCGAATGCGGATGTCAAATATTTTTAAGAAATAATTTTGGTGAGTACATTAGGTGATTTAGGTAAATAAAAAATGGAAAAGTTACTAATTTTTAATACAGTTTTTTTTTTTTTATTTAGTACTTCAATTAAAAAATTGGAACATTGTATTTAAGAAAGAGTAATTTTGCTGCCTTTTCGGGTTACAGCCTGATTCCTAACGGGTCGTAAATCAAACCTGCGCCACTAAATAACTATTCGCTCGAGGCGACAAACTTGAAACTTGACAAAATTGTAAATTCTTTTCGATTGACGCTGCACGAGTTGAGAAGACTTCCAGTTACGTTTCTTTTTTTATTGCGGTGCAACAGTTCCTTTTTGGGAATTGCATCGGGGCTGCAAATGTCGGATGTATCCTCCTGACTTTCATCTTCACAATCTAGCATCATGGCAATGTTTCAGAATTTGGAGAACCTGTTACGTCATCAGCGTTTTTCGATTTCAGTTTTTGTACTTCATTTTTAATCCTGTCTTCTGTGACTGGTTTGATATATGTGCGCCTATAGCGAGGTTGTGAATAGGTGGATATGGCACATAAATTGTTAGTTTCTAGGAATGAAAATTTCGAAGAAAATTCTGTTTTTAAAAACGTGGCTGCCAGCTGAAATAGTTTAAAATCTTGTCATTTTGTTAAAAAGATACCCCGTTTTTATAATAATTTGAATTATGGAATCACGGACGATAAAGGTCTCAGATTTGCTTAGTTCTCGGGTGACTCCTTGGAAAGGTTTGCCTGTAATGAATACCTTGTAATTAGTTTCTTTTTTTTTATTAGTTAGTTTAGCTTCCTAGTTACAGGCAGTCACAATTAATTACTCACCGCTGTCGGTACCATAAACTATCAAATCTGTTTTGTTGTTCCATTCCATGCGCTCAATGTGTTTTGATATATTTTTTGAGGCGAATGAACGCAAATTTCCCACATATATATCGCTAATACTATTTTAAGAGGGCTTATTTCACATTGTTGCTGAAATGCAAAAAATCCAAACTAACTGAATTTTTGTATTGCCTAAAACGATGTGGGAACTTATGATTCGATGAAATGCATCAATCGAAAAGTTAATTTTGGATTTTTAGTTAGTTACGGCTTTTTGTATTTCAGCTACGATGTGAGTTAAGCCCTTTCCATAAAGCATTGTTCACTCAAAATCGGTACGCATAAAATGGGTTATATCTTTTTAACAGGTTTTCAGAAATTAATATTAAATATATTAAAATAAGGGGACGAATTCCGCTATAGATAGATATTAGCGAAAGTTTCATATTTTGCTTGGATAATCCAATAACAGACAATTTCGTTGATAATGATAAAATTTTTCTGAACACCCGTTCTAGAGACTTGGGCAGTCAACTTGTTCCACTAAACTATCTTTAGTTTAAGTTTTTTCATAGTTCGCGCATCTCTACTAATTTTGTTTTCAATAAATACCGTGTATTTTTCGATTTGACGTAAATAGGACATATTCGTAAATTGATGAGTTCCAGAACTTTATTCATATCTTTGGCTTTAAACCGATTTAAAGTTACATGTGAATAATTAATTTTCATTAAAACCAACCAAAACTTTACTGAAGGTCTAAAGTAAATGATACAATGGCTTAACACTTTGTGCAAGTGCTCCTTCCAGCATATTTCTGGGATCATATGACCCATTGTGGAGTCTGATCGAGTTTTAATGATACTGTTTCGATTCTCTCGTAATTTCATATCCCTTTGAAAACTGTGTCAACTTCTATAAATTTAGTTTTAAGAGGATATCACCCTGTTTCTTTTTAGCTTAAAACTTTTAACGTGGGAGTTGACCGAAGTCAAGTTTTAAACATGTTTTTTAGTCATTACTAAAACAAATACCGCATTTGGTGTGAACATTGGGGTAAAGTAAACGGGTGAGGTTTTTGTTATAAAATTAATTTAATCTAACAGAATCGTATATATTATAATTCGATAAGGTTTAAGTCTTGGCATAGCTTCCATTCGCTGAACTGTGGATAATCGTTTTGCAATTCTCTCGCGCGATCTTCTTCTGATAAGCCGTTTTTTTTTATAATTGAGGTAAAGAGCCTTATACTTAAGCTGGTGCGAAATGATTTTTTTCGATGATTAGCTTACTCTGTTAGTTTAAGCAGAAGGAATCCATTCATTGAGTTTTTGAGGAAAATTAGAAGTTTTTGGTATATTTAATTTTAATCAAATTTTTGATCTCGAGAGAGTCGAATTTTCAACGAATTTGTTCAACGTTATTTTTTGAGCAGCCACTTCCAACGCGAATAAAACCGTCAAATTAAAAGCCAGTACTATGAAATTTCAACCTCATAATGGTAGATCTATTGTCTAACGATCTGCATTGCAACTTTTTAATACATTCAAACAATTTCCGTACAGAAATTGCTGGAACGCGTAACGATTTAAAGTGAACAATGCTTTACTATACTAACCGTATATTACATGCCAAGTCCCACGCCTCAATAGATATAAAATTCACCTTGAATTATTTCTTATTTAATTTGTGAACTTGGCTGTCGACTTATTTACATACCATTTTATCTTTATTTCGATGCGTGCTAATGTTGACAATTTACACAAAATTAAGATAAATGCTTTTGTTTTCGAGCTGAAAGACTAATAGAAGGAAACACGGAACTTAAGAATAATAAGTTTTATGAGGAAAAAAATAATTACACTAAAGATGCATCCAGTTTTTTCAACAGACCTTTGACAAATAATATTCGATTCTCTTTATAGCTAGCCGTTGAACATTTCCGCTGGAAATACCTACTATTATCTTACGCTTTGACTTTAAATTACGAAAGAAGGTGGACGTAGGGGACAGTCTTACCGTAGCATCTCTACAGGCAAAAAATATTGGCTAAAATTTTTGTTTGCCAGATACGTTTTAACAGTGCACTTGTACAATATTCGCATTCGCAGAAGCTCCGCATTGATTATTGCGAATGCGAAAGCGAATGTCATAATTTATGCGGAAGTTCCGCGGTTGCGAATGCGAATGCGAATATTCGCAACAACCCTGATACAAAGTTCAATAACATTGTTAATTAACTTTAATTTGATATACCACTTGTTTCGATCGGTAAACGGATTCTCCCGATATTCAAACTTTTTTATGACGAAGTAGTGTTATTACTTACTTTTACTGAGTTGTGCTTCGAGATAGTTTTGTTGAAACCATGGAACATTCGCCTCGGGGTAATCCAGACAGACTGTGCGATTCAACTGCATTATTAAATTAAGTACTCGTTCTGGATATGTTGCCTAACGTTTTGAAAAAATAAAACAAAAATTAATGGAAAATATGTGCTTATGTACATACATACTTTATGCATTACAATAGTAAATACGGATACACTACCTTTGAGTAACACATATGAATCTCGTCCTCAATCCGCTGAATAAACTTCACACAAAACACCGTATCGATTAGGTCCTCAGGGATCGATTTGTAGTAGCAAAGTGCTAGACATGCCTGCACGACCGACAAACCGCTCATATGTTTGAAGTCACTAATGGGATTATACTATTTAGAGGTGTGCTAATATACATATCGACGCACAGAGGAGTATTTGCATAGTAAAACCGGTCAAAGTTATTTTAAGTTATTTCTACTCAGTAATAAAATAAAACATGAAACTTAATCATAATTACGGATTTATAGGATACAAATTACTACAATTACATTTATCTTAGGCTCTTTTTCGTAAAATATTTAGTTCAGTTACCATAATTCCACAAACAAACCTTTTTTCAGAAAAATACAAGAAAAGCATTAATTTTTCCAGAACACTTTTAGGCCGACGAGTTCGGTTATGCACTTCGTTCTTTCAGACTGGCTCTTAATTGCGAATCACTGCGAATTGGGCAAAAATTTTCGATGCTAAAGTTTTGATGCTTTTTCTATTTCAATTAAATAAATAACTTAAAAATAATATACAAAAAAATTCGATAAATTGTTCTAAGGCCACAACTGTTCTCACCGAAGCCGATTAGAGAGTAGTGCTGTCCAGTTTCATAATCCTGCAAAGGATCTCCCGAGGACTTTAAAATTAAAGGGTATGATCTCAGTAAATCTGGGTATCTAGCTCCGATGAAAGCTGTTGACTCTCAAGTACACTTTTCGGCATTAGTTTTTTCGTTTTAAGTTATTTTTACAGATGAAGAAAAAGTTGGAGAAAAACTAGCTATGGATTGAGTTTTTTCAATAGAACTATGACATATAGTATTCGACCGTTACGTAATTTTTACCCAATTAAAGGTCAGGCTTACAGCTTTTTAAAAATTTTACGACTCATCGAGTTTCGTCCTTCGAAAATCAAAATGGTCACATGTCAGTAAATTTTTTTTTTGCTTTAATTGCTCGAGGATAACTGGATTTACATATATTTCAAGGAACCAAATTTTGACAAACCTTGATAAGTAAACAAAAATGCCAATATTTATACATAAAAAAAAAGAATCCCAACCTTGACTATTTTCAGGTCGACATATATCAAAGAGAAAGCAGCAGGGGGAGTTTTCATGCCTACCTTTCAATATATCGGTTATTTAGCTTTAGGAATAGCATATTTAACTGGACTTTTGCCAAAATTGGTAACTCTGACTTTTGACCGGGTTTTCAAATATTCGTATGTGCGTCGCCTGGCTAAAAGATTGTCGTATGTTATTTTCGGCAGGTTTTTTGGAAAATCGCAATTGAAATTAGGAATGCAGTTTCTCAAAAACGCGACGATAGACTTTCTTCAAAGTCCCAGAGAATCTTACTATGTAGTTTATGAAAATCCTAAAATATATTTTTGTAGTTTATTGTTAACTAGCCAATGCCCGCTTGCTTCGCGGCGCCTAATAAGATCTTTTGCGTTGGCCAATACAAAAATAGCGTTTAAAAGTAAAAGCGGTCTGTAAAATAAACATTTTTAGTTTAAATTGGAACGAATAAAGAGCAGAATCCTCCTCACACATAGGCCAAGAATAGTAGCGCTGTGATACCATATGGAATACTAATCCCTTTCGATGTCATGAGTTTTATCGATGGTCTTATTTCCACCTGTGAGATCTCTACCAAGCGTGCGTAATATTCTTCTATGATCTTGCAACTTCAACACTGGTCCGTAAACCATGTAAGCCAATAAAAGTCCTTATAAGGAAACTAAAGAGCACAGATGAGCGTTGTCAGTTATTGGAGGGGCAGCGCAATCCATTAGGTCCCTTTTCTGCAAAACCACTGCTCGTCAAGAAATGAATACGCATTATGAATTTCAATCAGATTATAGTGGGTTCATTTTTAGGAAACGAATTTTTCATCTCACGGGTAGCTCATTTTGCGAATTTGAATGAAATCGGTTAATAAATATGACTTTTATAAATAACTCTACTCCAGCGCCAACTGCGTGTTGTCTAGTAGGCGATAATTTGCCTGGTTTTTGAGATTAGTCCGAACAACGAAAACGGCTATCATTTTATGTACGTATGTACTAGGGTGGTCAAAAAAATCAAGTTTTTTTTTTGATCCGACACGAAAACTAGTTACTAGGTACCTCTACATAGAAAGTACATACCAAATCTGAGCTCTTAATATTAACGGGGAGATTATGCTCATCATAGTTTTCCATTTTCAATTTAGTCTCATATAATATGACCATTTTTATATCACCAATAGATCGTTAAACCAGTTGCATCGTCAATATTTATAGGAAATTGAACGCTCTACAAAAATGGTCTCATATATTCTTTTCGTCAATCTAACCATTTTAAAGATATTCAAGGTCAAAGACTGAAGTATTTTAAGGAAAATAACTTTTTGTTTTGAATTTTGTAACTTACTAAAAAATAATTATTTTCAGATGAGTTTCAATTATTTCTATAGGAAATTAAACGCTCTACAAAAAAGGTCTGGTGTAGTTAATCGATTACTCTAACCATTTATAAGATATTCGCAGTAGAATCCCAATGCCTGATTTTAATAGTTTTTCAATAAATATTTTCAATTTATCCATTCAATTTATGCGTTTTGAAAATATTCATGAGAATTTGAGTTTATCAATTTTTATCAATTCAATTTTCAATCAAGTCAACTTTTATAACTTAAACTAAAAGAAAATATATATTTTTGTATCAATACTGTACTGAATTATAAAATTTCATATGGCGAAATATAATTTTTTTTCTGCTGATATGTTTGATGATATTCTTCTTCTTCTTCTATCTTGGCGCTGTAACCGCCTAAGAGATTTTGGCCGAGTTCAGCAAAGCACGCCAGTCGTTTCTCCTTTGTGCCAACTGACGCCGATTGGAAATGCCAAGTGAAGCCAGGTCCTTCTCCACCTGATCTTTCCATCGCAGTGGAGGCCTCCCTATTCCTCTGCTACCACCAGCGGGTTCCGAGTTGAATACTTTCAGAGCTGGAGCGTCGGTGTCCATTCGAGCGACATGGCCAAGCCAGCGGAGCCGCTGTATTTTAATAAGCTGTACTATGTCCATGGCGTTGTAAAGCTCATACAGCTCATCGTTCCATCGTCTGCGGTACTCGCCGTCGCCAACGCGTAAAGGCCCGTAAATCTTCGGCAAAATCTTTCTCTCAGACACTCCAAGAGTCGCCTGATCGGATGTTGTCATTGTCCATGCTTCTGCGCCATATACCAGCACGGGCATGATGAGTGACTTATAGAGCGCGGTTTTCGTACGTCGAGAGGGGACTTTACTCCTGAATTGCCTACCCAGTCCAAAGTAGCACTTGTTGGCAAGAGTGATTCTGCGTTAGATTTCAATGCTGACATTGTTATCGGTGTTAATGCTGGTTCCCAAGTAAACGAAATTCTCTACTTTCTCGAAATTGTAACTGTCAACAGTGACGTGGGTGCCAAGGCGCGAATGTGCTGACTGTTTGTTTGATGACAGGAGATACTTCGTCTTGTCCTCGTTTACCACCAGACTCATTCGCTTTGCTTCCCTATCCAACTTGGAAAAGGCAGAACAGACTTCGCGGTTTTTGTTGCCGATGATGTCGATGTCATCGGCATAAGCCAGCAATTTCACGCTCTTGTAGTAAATTGTTCCTGAGCGGTTCAGTTCTGCAGCTCTTATTATCTTCTCCAACATCAGATTAAAGAAGTCACATGAAAGGGAGTCGCCCTGTCTGAAACCCCGTTTTGTAGCGAACGGCCCTGAGAGGTCTTTCCCAATTCTGACGGAGCTGGTGGTATTGCTCAACGTCATTTTACACAGCCGTACGAGTTTTTAGGGGATGCCACATTCAGACATAGCGGCGTATAGGCAACTCCTTTTAGTGCTGTCAAAAGCGGCTTTATAGTCGACAAATAAGTGGTGAGTATCGATCCTTTTCTCGCGGGTCTTTTCCAAGATTTGGCGTATTGTGAATACCTGGTCTATGGTGGATTCGCCAGGTCTAACGTCACACTGATAAGGCCCAATCAGTTCATTGACGGTGGGCTTCAATCTTTCACACAATACGCTCGATAAGACCTTGTTAACTATGCCTAGAAGGCTGATCCCGCGGTAGTTGGCGCGAATGGCGGGGTCACCTTTCTTGTGGATTGGGCAGAGCACACTTAAATTCCAGTCGTCGGGCATGCGTTCATCTGACCATATTCTGCACAAGAGTTGATGCATGCACCTTATCAACTCCTCGCCGCCGTACTTGAATAGCTCAGCTGGCAGGCTGTCAGCTCCAGAAGCTTTGTTGTTTTTCAGCCGCGTTATTGCTATGCGTACCTCGTCATAGTCAGGCGGTGGAACGTCGACTCCGTCATAATCGACTGCGGGCTCGGGTTCTTCTTCTCCATAACTTTCCGTGCGGCTACCATTTAGTAGGGCGGAAAAGTGTTCCCTCCATAATTTAAGTACGCTCTGGACATCAGTTACTAGGTCGCCATTATTGTTCTTACAGGAGTAAGCCCCGGTCTTGAAACCTTCCGTAAGTCGCCTAACTCTCTGGTAAAATTTTCGGGCATTCTTCTTGTTGGCCAGCATTTCAAGCTCTTCGCACTCACGTATTTCGGACTCTCTCTTCTTATTGCGGCAAATACGTCTCGCTTCCCTCTTCAGATCCCTATAGCGGTCCCACATAGCGCGCGTTGCGCCCGATCGCAACGTGGCCCTGTAGGCGGCATCTTTTTTCTCTGCAGCTTCCTGACACTCCTCATCGTACCAGTTGTTCTTTCGGGCTCGCTGAAATCCGACTACTTCTTCGGCGGCGGTACTTAATGAGCGGGAAATGTGGTTCCACTGCTCGCATATGTCGGTTGATGATATTCCTTAAATAAAAACCTTCTTTTTATGAAATAGATCATAAATTATCTCAAAATTCATTAATTAAATGGATAAATTGGAGATATTTATTAAAAAACTATTAAAATCAGTAGGCATTAGAGTTCTACTGTGAATATCTTCTAAATGGTTAGAGTAATCGATTAACTACATGAGACCTTTTTTGTACAGCATTTAATTCCCTATAGAAATAATTGAAACTCATTTGACAATAATTATTTTTTAGTAAGTTACAAAATTCAAGACAAAAAAGTTATTTTCCTTAAAATACTTCAGTCTTTGACCTTGAATATCTTTTAAATGGTTAGATGAACGAAAAGAGTATATGAGACCATTTTTGTAGATCGTTCAATTTCCTATAAATATTGACGATGCAACTGATTTAACGATATATTGGTGATAAGATATGACCATTTTTATATGAGACTAAATTGCAAATGGAAAACTATGATGAACATAATCTTCCCGTTATTATTAAGAGCTCAGATTTGGTATGTACTTTCCAGAGGTACCTAGGAACTAGTTTTCGTGGGTCGGATCCAAAAAAAAATACTTGATTTTTTTTACCCACCCTAGTATCTACATATATGTTTTGAATGAAAAAAAAAAATCATGTAAGTAATAAACGTTTCGAATTTGCATTAAAAAAAGCGGTTCATAAATAGGGCTTTTATCGGGTCCATTTTTCGCAAATGCTTTTTTCATCAGGCAGGTAGCTTATACTTTGAATTTGAACGAAATCGGTTCGTAAATACGACTTTTATAGATAACTCGACTCCCGTGCCACCTAGAGGGCCTTTTTGGTAAACGTATTTTACATCATGCTGGTAGCTTAAATTTTGAATTTAAGAGAAATCGGTTCATAAATACGATTTTTATAAATAACTCGACTCTAGCCCCACCTAGCGCATACGTATTTCTCATCATGTAGGTAGCACATGTTTTGAATTTGAACGAAATCGGTTCATAAATACGACTTTTATAAATAACTCCACCCCAGCGCCACCTACCGAGTTTTCTGGTAGCCTATAATAGGACCATATGTTCAAGGTAGAGATGGGCACGGGCCTAAATTTTCAAGCCCGGCCCGGCACGAGTGCAAAATCAACTTTCAAAAACA